TATGTATTTGAGGATCCCAAGCCGTCATCTGGCAGCGTAGGAACGACTGCCATGTCTACTCAGGAGTGGTTGGATACTCTGGACCGAGCCAAGGAGATGGCTTTGTCACAACAGGGGAACGGCTCATATTCAGATGACGCCTTCCGCGACCTGTCATCCGGCTTGTCTAGCCATGCTAATACGTTGGACCGGAGCTCAGAACTCCAGCAAGAAAGCGCACCCACGGGCCGTGCCACTTTGGTCAAACAACCACCAACCGATACGGATTCGGTTAAAGGGAAGAAGCGATTCAGCCGACGCCATTCGAAGAACGGTCTTGCGGCGGTCTTCTAGGCCCTTCTCACATACCCTTCTCTCACTCAAACTTCATTCCCCGATCTCTTCTCCATCACTTTCTCTCCATTCCCTGAAAAGTTGGGATGCTGTCCACTGCGCAGGATCGCACACATAACTCTCCTCTTGTCTTTGGAACATAACTCGTGCGTGTGTTTTGCTTGATATCCCTGAGTGTTTCCCGCAGCTGCGCTTGGCAATTCTGTTTCTCTTTGCTACCACTTAGCAGGTCTTGCATTGGGCTATTGTTTGTCGCGGGAGACCCAGTCATACACTCTAGCCAGCGACTCGTCGATTTTCCTTTGTTTGCATCTCGTGTAAGAATTGCGATGTGGTCTCATTTGTGTGTGACTTTTTGCCTGCATCTTTGCAATGATGAGCGTTGTTTTTCTTCTTTCTCTTGTTGAGATTGTTGCATTTAGATGGGAAGGAGTATGCATATATATCCCTCATCTGGCCCGTTTACCACTTTCGATCGCATCAATCTATTTCGCGCGATACTTCCTTTATTTCATTCTGATATATATCCTTTGGACCTGGCGAGATCCAGGATCTCGAGATTAATAGATCTTGATTGTTGGTGGGAGAGACGAGAGAGAAAGACAGTGCCATAGAGTGCACCTTCTCGCTGGGAGGAATCAATTCAAATTTCTAATCTCTTTTTATCTTGTTCAAGGGGTTTTGTTGTTGATCAGCGACAGGATCCGGTGTTGGCTCGGAGCTTATTTAGGTTTCTTTTTTCTTTCTGGCTTCACTTTCGCCCGCCCTCTTTACTCTTTGATCACCCATATTCCCAGGGTTATCAAAACCCCCTCTCCATATTTTTCAAGACGGGGAACTCGATAATAGTACCTTCAAATGCAAATACATTCCAAATCTCTGATATCATCCGTGCATCCGAGACGCCGCTATCGTATGTACAAGGCTTGTGTCATATATGCTCCCCTTCCTGATCGATTCCGGAACCAGAGGATAGTTATGTACAACTGGTGGGTAGAATGTTAGGTTTACCTAGGTAGATAGGTGAATTTCCCTTCTTCAAACCCAATTCGATCGGCGTTCCCTTTCTTGAGCCGAAACGCTACCCATCCGATATATGCAGTACAGTAAAATGCTCTGGGGTTAAAGAGCACGAGCAAGAGCCAGAGCCAGAGCCTAGATGAACAACCAGTCAATTCGGGAAGCATCCAGCTCCTGGATCCAATCGAAGTCGCCATCATCGTCGTCGTCGTCATCGTCATCGTCATCAGCATCTTCTTCGTCGTTATAAACATTATCGTGATCATTAGTACCGGTATTAGGATTAGTAGTGAAAGGATCCGTCGGATTCGGCGCATTCGCGACAGATGCCCAGGGATTGGCCGAAAAGGAGCCAGCCTGCTGCTGGCGCTGCTGGCGCCGCAGATTCTTCCGCTGGCGCCGCTCCTCGACCCTCTGATCGCGCTTGCGCCACATCAGACTCAGTACCCAGGCGGCGTTGCGCACGTTGACGCTCGTGATGTCGTAGTAGAGGGCGCGGAGCTTGTCGAGCAGAAACGGGCGGAGGGCGGGGTCGGCGCACTCGGCGCCGGCGATGAAGGTGGGCCAGATTAGGCACTTGAAGTGCGGGTCGGCGACGGGGATGAGGGCGATCTGGCGGATGAGGAGGTCGGTGACGGCCCCGTGGTCGGCGGGGAGGCCGAAGTGGCGGGGCGGACTTGTTGGGTTCGCCGCCAGGCGCGGGCGGGAGAGGGCGCGGCTGGCGTAGAGGTAGACGGCGGCTTGGTAGACGGTGGCGAGGGCGGTACGCATGGAGAGGTCCGGGAGGTGGAGGAAGCTCTGCATAGATTGCGCCCAGGCGGCGGGGTCGAAGGCTTGGATGTGGGCGAGAAGGGCGGCGGGGGATTGTAGCGGGTTGGCATGGGCGGAAAGGTGGGGGGAGGTGAAGACCATCTTGGGAAGGTGGGGAGGGGAGGAGGGTTGGTTGTTGTCGTCAGGTCCCTGGGAGTCATCATGTTCCATGTAGAGACCCGCGTGGATGAGAAAGATCACTTCGAGGAGATAGCCGGGGCAGCCGACCCAGGAGGTCTCTTCGAGTCGCTTGAGGACTGCCGGGCCCATGTTCGAGGTGTAGAAGGGTCGCGTCAGGGAGCCGGGGCGGGCCAAGGTAGAGCCCATCAGTTGGATACTGGACAGGGTTAGATGAGAGCAGGCAACAGAATAGCGGAGATTTAGAGTCGACATACATGAGGATGCCATCTATCGCAAAGTCATCTAACCAGGAGAAGAGCCCCTGGGTTGCCGGGCCATCTGGGTGATCACCTTCTTGGCGGCCTTTGAGGAGTTTCTTGGCTCCTTCAAGATGGTACTTCCAGGCTCCGTCGCCGGATTCAATCGCATCCATCAACGCAAGCAACATGCTCGCGGCCAGCGTTCGGTTGTCATGGCGCATGACGGGATCTTGGATGTCTTGCGACAATCGCTGCAATGCGCGCTGTTTGAATCCGAGGAAATGCTCGTATACTTTCGAGGCCGGTCGGCGCGACAAGGATCCGATCACAGCCTTCTCTACGTCCTCCGATGAGAGCAATGTTCCTGCGGCTGCAGTTTCCACGCTCCAGGGTCCCGGAGAGAAATCTTCATTGGCTAGAATGGCGTAGTGTAAAGCACCCAGGGCTGAAAGCACGTGGGCGAGTAGGGAGGAGTCGCCGAGTAAGGGGGTCAAGTCGCGGAACGGGTTTTGGCCGTTTGAGTAGAGCGTAAGATAATTGGCAAGGTACTGGTTGACTTTGACATCGGGTCAGCATGAACCTAGGACCCAAGGAATGCTCGTCACGTACAATGGATGATGTATTGTCTGGAAAAGCTGTCCAAATCCTTGAACAATGGATCCACCAGACCCCAGGGCGCAGGGACAGAGTCAAGAAGCTGGGGGTTGCGTTGTATTACGTGGCTCTGATCGTAAGCTTCGACATCGGCCATCGCCAAGTCGTTGGATTCGTGCGACATCTCAACATGGTCGGTGTCGTGCGGAAGCGCAGGGCCGATTGTGTCGGGTGACGCTGTCGAAGCTGGCGAAGAAGAGCTGGAGCCATTGTCCCGTCTTGCACTCAAAGCACCCTTCACAACATCGTCGTAGCTGCGACCCATCATTTTCCCGCGACTGGCAACGCCGCCCTTCACCCAGACGAGGGGTTTCTGATAGCCCAGACATTCCTTCCCCGCATCGCGACACTTGCGACAGGTGGGCAAACCATTGTCGCATACAATCCGGCGACGGCGGCAAGTATAACAGCCTTTGGTCATTATTTTATTCCCCTTCAAGCGTGTGCATGTAAGGCTGTGCGCACTCGAGGTTGGTCACTGAATTGGCGTCGCGGGGGTAGGACAGGTCCGTGGTGCAGTGGAAGAACGGAGTACTCGAAACGGGGATCTGGAAACAACGCTCGACATCATTGAAAGTCGATCTTAAGGATGAAGGCTGTAGTTAGAAGCATTGCTTGTGAGTTAGTGAAACACCCGATGGTAGGCTTTGCATGATTCGCATGATTCGTATGATTCATCGTAAGTGACAGGAGTTGAGTTCGGAGGAAGAGCGGCGGGGCGAGACCGGGACTCGAGAAGCCTGGAGAAGGTGCCGTCCATTCATTGATTGGTGGAGGGCATCTGACTCAATGGACGGACCGGATTGAAAACAGCTAGCCGGATCGGGCTAGACTGAAGTGGGACTGACGGGAATCCAGCGGCAGAGGCACAAACAAGCCAAACAAACAACATTCATTGTATTGTTGTTGGAATACTTTATCAAGGTCAAAATATGAAGAGATGAAGAGATGAAGAGAGAAACTTGAGGGTTTTTAGGATAGCGAAGCCAGGGACTCAAGGGGAATCTTAGAAAAAGGGGTCAGATGGATTATACCAAGTACTGTACTCATAACACTCCGTAGTGATGCAGCCACCCACCCGTGATCCCCAGCCAACCAAACTCACCAGCCAATCCGGTCAACACCGTCCCCATCCATGATTTCCCTGCCTCCCGCACTTTCACTCCTTCACTTTGGCTTCATCACTTTCAGGGGAAGCTGCCGATTTGGCCTGGGATTATGAGCCTTGGTGGCTAGTAGTCCTTGTTGTTTTCTGTTGACTTGCAATGTACCTGTCCCCGTCAGACCAGTCTTGTGTTATTTGCCGATCTACTATTCATTTCACCCTCACCTGCAGCAGCGGCTACACCAGTGCGCGCTTTGGCTGCCTTCCCCTGTCGCATGAAGTGGACTGGCCCTGAGTCTCGCTCAGAGTGAATCACTTTCTTCGTTTTTTCAGAAAATTCGTTGCTTTTCATCCTCCCATCGTACCCTAACATTCTAGTCTTTATCTCCCAAGAAATTATATCCGCGAGGTGGTCCGTGTGGTTATCGCGATCGCGGGGGATCAACAACGGTTAACCCGCCGCCACTCGCAGACCTTCGCAGCCACATCCCTTTTGGTCGGTCAAATCGGTGATTGTCGCGCGTCGCTCAGCATTCCTCTCGCATTCGGGAAACCCTCCCTAGTCGGTGCGCGTGTCGTTGGTCCTTGATTGACACAGCCGCCGCTCGAGAGTTGGGATTTGTTGGGTCACTGCGCGGTTCGCTCAGACGATGTTTACCAGGTCCTCCAAAGCCACCTCCACGGTCACCTCCATCGACATGGTCTCTCAGGCTCAAGTTCTCGATCGCTCCTTACCGGCGCAAAGCACACTCTCCTCCACCTCCCGCCATTCGCATTCCAGCCGACGACATCGCTCCAGTCGCTCTCACCATGGCGGTCTGACCCATCAACCCCAGAACGAATTCCCCATTTTCACTCATACCGGCGATGTGGAGATCGTGATCCGCGCGGGGGCACAGGAGCAACGCTACCTTCTTCACCGGCTCATACTGACGCAGTGCTCTGGGTTTTTCGAAGCAAGCACTCGGGATGGGTGGTCACCGCAAGCCCCCCCTCGGCCATCCAATCCAGACCCAGGGGTCCTGTCCAGAATCAGCGAGGACACCTCTTCGTTGTCTAACGGCTCAACCCTGGCTCAATCGGAGAGTGGAGGGTCGTCCTGGTCCCTGGAGAAACGGCGCTGGAAATATGAGCTCGACTGGGAAAACAAGGCCGAGGATGAGGAGCCGATCCTCGTACAAAAGGTGTGTATGCCGCCTGTTCCCATTGCAGCTGACTTTGGCTGATCTGCTGTCAAGCCGCCGAGCTACTCCAGCGCCTTTGGCTGCGAACCCGGGCAATACCCTCCGTCGGTGACGAAACCATCGAACACGCAGACGGGCTTCGTTCGATCGATGGCCAATCTGGCCGGGATGCAGTCGGCCGTGATTCTACCGCACAGGAACAGCTCTTCCAACCCGCCAGTGGACCCCATCATCCGGGACTACGACAACCTGTTCCGGATGTTCTACAACTACCCGCCGACGATCAACAGCGTCAACATCGCGACCGCCTACTCCGAGTGCCGTGCGCTGCTCTCCCTGGCGGACATGTACGATGCGCTTCCGGTCACCGGACCACGGGTGGACCATCATCTGCTGGGCTTCGGATCGCGGCTCTTCAAGCAGATCGCCAAGTACCCTCCCAGCTATCTCAAGCTGGGCTACATGGCGCGGAGTCGCGTCATCTTCTCTGAGGCACTGATCCACGTCGTCGGCCAGTGGCCGGCTGCTGTGCCGCACCTGCGCAACGGCAGCTACTCGCCGCTCCCGAATGCGGTCCTGGACATCATCGAAGACAAGGTCGAAGACCTCGAAGACCTGAAGGCGCGCATCGACTCCAAGCTGCTCCGACTCACCCTGACCACCTCGCGCGGCGAGCGCGTCAGTCCGACCAACGCCTACCTCGACTGGCTGGCCGTTTCCCTGTTTCGACAGTGGTTCGTCGACAGCACCACTCCGCCCCCGCCGCCCATCCTCAAAAACACCTCGACGAACCCGAGCAGCCATCACCACAGTCACAGCCACAGTCACAGCCATGGTAGCCACCACCGATCCACCGCCAACCTCCCCTCGTCATCCCCCTCGTCCACCTCCCCGCCATACTCCCCCGCGCGCGTCTACCGCCTCATCGGCTCCCCCTCCACCCAAGCCTACCTGCCGCACGACGACCTCAAGCGCTTCCTCAAAGTCCACCCCACCCCCTCTGCAGAAGCCCTTTACAGCCGCGACGTGATGAAACGGTTTGAGCGGAAGATGGACGAAATCAAACGGCTGGCCCGCGAGATCGTCAAGCCCCTGATGCGGAACTTTCTGGAGTTGGACCTGAAAGACAGCGGCAGTACTGGCCATAGCAGTGAGGGCGGCGGACTACCATACCTGACCTGCACCAAGGTCGAAGACGAGGATATTCCATGGGAGTGATCCACCCATCACACCCAGTGCAACGACTCGACACGCGACAAACGATCACGCAATTTAACTTTTCTACTTGAGAAGCTTCTCCTCCCCCAATTTACACATGCTTTACTTCCCATTGGTCTTGGTTGCTTTCGATACCCGATTCATGAATATAGTTTTTTTATGGTTGATGGTTGATGGTTGATGGGTTAAACGATATACACGGATATGAGGTTCACCTCTACTGTTTTGGGTTTTTTTTTCTTTCTTTCTTTTTTCTTTACTTATTTTTATGAACCTCTGATGTTCCCCCCCTCTTGTTCAAGTTCCCCTTCCTTATGAATGAACGATGATGCTGTCTATTCGCCAAAAACCCAATTAGTCCTAGTCCTAGTGAATGTGCTATGAAGTTATGAATACAAATGCAGACTACGGGGTTCCTTTTCGTCTTGTTTCTTCGGGCGTTTTGCTTAGAACTTGGAATAGTCTTACCTCTTCCTGTTGAGGTGGTGGGCACTAGTTGGATTGATGATGCTACAGTGAAGAGAAATGGGGACAACCAAGGTAAATTGTATCCTGGGATTAAGATTTATTTATACCATTGGGTAAACACACCAAAGCCCAGGGGTCTTTCTTCCATTTGTAGGTAGAGGCCCGCGTGGCCACTTGTTATGTATGTTCTTGCGTGGACCGTAGCAGGATGGCTCTCCTTATCGGATCTAGATGTCTAAGGTACACGACCGGAACTGGCTAAGTGGGACACACGCACTCGTCGAAGCTTCATTTATCGTACATTGTGATATAATTTACATGGGGCATGGACTCCTTCCTGTGTAGTTATGAAAGAGGAGAGAGAGAACAGGGGTCCTCACAATACACAGACACACACACACACACATACACACATACACATAACATAATCATACATCCACCTCGCATTCACCTCCGGGATCTCACTGCACAGCTCCCAGAGCCATACCATGAGCCAAGGCTGAGGGTAACTAGCTTAGGTACCTACCAACCGACGGAAGGCAAGCTCATTTCTGCTTCCCGATGACCTCGATCCCGCCCATCCACCCCCGTAGCACCTCCGGCACAACCACCACCTCCCGCTTGGGGTCCCAGCCATGCTCCAGGATTGCCGCCAACACGCGGGGGACGGCCATGGCGGTGCCGTTGACGGTGTGCGCGAACCGCGTGGGGGCCTTGTTCTTCTGGGCCTTGCCGTCGCGCACCCGGGTCGCGAGGCGGCGGCTCTGGTAGTCCGTGCAGATCGAGGCGGAGGTGACCTCGCCCCAGGCGGATTCAAGCGATGCGGTTGCATCGGTGCCATCGACAGTCCCCTCGGCGGGGGCCGCACTGCGCAGCCGCGAGGGGAACAGGACCTCGATGTCGCGCTTGCGGCTGGCACTGGCGCCCAGATCGAAGGTGGGCATCTCCAGGACGCGGGCGGGCAGGCCCAGGGAGTGCAGGATCTCGGTCTGGATGGCCAGCAGCTCGGTGAAGAGGTCGTCGGATGAAGACGACCCGTCGGCGACGATGGCGTCGGCCCACGCGAACATCTCAACCTTGGTGAATTCGTGGACGCGGTACAGGCCCTTGGTGTCGACGCCGCGGGAGCCGGCCTCGGCGCGGTAGCAGCGGCTGGGGCCGACCAGTTTCAGCGGGAGGTCGGCGGAGTCGAAGGTGCGGCCGGCGTGCATGGCGGCCAGCGGGATCTCGGCGGTGCCGGCGAGGGCGCGCTGGGGTTTCGCGCCGTTGTCCTTGTCCTTGTCGGCTTGCTCGAGGGTGAAGATCTGCTGCTCGTTGTGCTGGTCGCGGGGCTGGAAGCCGCACGCGTCGGCGATGTGCGAGTAGACGATCGAGGGCGGGGAGACGGGCTTCCAGCCGTGGCGGCGCGCCACGGTCAGCGCGTACTGGATGAGGGCCTGCTCCAGAAGCGCGCCCTCGTTGGTGAGGAAGTACCAGCCCCACCCGGTGGTGGTGGCCGAGCTGGTGAAGTCCAGGAGGCCCAGCGTGGTGCCGATGTGGACGTGCGACCGCGTCGGGTCGGGGTTGGAGGCCCAGGCGGGCAGTGGGGAGGCCGGGTCGAAGTTGAGGTAGGAGATGAGGGTCGGGGCGTCGCCGATGGGCGTGTCGGCCGAGGACAGGTTGGGCAGGGAGAGCGCCAGCCGCTGCATCTCTTCATCGCAGGTCTGTTGCCGCGTGAGCTGGGCTTGGGACTCGTTTCTCAGTTGGGTCGCCTCGGCGCGCAATTGGGAGATGCTTGGTTCGGTGGGGGTGGTGGCATCGTCCGGGTTCTTTGCTTGAGCGGCGGCGATCTCCGCGATGGCTTTCTCGAGTTTCTTGATCTGGGACCGCGGGGCGCGAAGGTTGACGTCGATCTCGCCGATCTCGTCGTACAATTGCTGGATGGTGGAGGGGTGTTGGGCGTGGGCTGCGTAGTTGCGGTCGCGACAGTTCTGGGCGTATAGCTCGGGGTTTTTGCGGATGTGCTTCACGTCGGGGGTGGGTTTGGGCGCGGTCGGCGGGCGGACAAGCTGGGAGCGGCGGCGGGCGGAGGAGGAGAAGGTGCGGCGAGTGAGGGCTCTGCAGCCCAGGCAGATGTAGGGGGGATTTGGCGGAGGCATCGAGAGGGGATTGCGTGGATTGAGGTTGGAGAGCAGCAAAGGAAGAGCGGAAGAGAAGCAACAGCAGGAGAGCAGGAGATTATCGATGGTTTGATGAATTGACCCGCTCCACCTTTCCCGATCGGGTAAATACTTACACTACGCCCCCGCGGCCGTATTTAATTCATATTAAGTAGAGTTTGGACCAATATTCCAGACATAATCTTCACTACCAGGGATATAGATACCCCATTCAATGATAAGACGAAAACATCTCTAGAAAAATCCAATCATGACGTACATACATACATGCTATGCGGAGAAACAATCTGTACCCAAATACTCACTCATATAAGTTAGTCAGTCCCTCACCCTCACCCCAACGCACCTAACCATACCAACTATACCACACCCCTCCTCCCAAATCCATTATTTTATCCCCCCCCTCCCGGATCTTCACCTCTAAAACCCCAATTTATGCTTCCTCACCCTCGCCCCAACGCCCACCACCACCAAAACCGCCCCAATCACCACCCCCCACAGCGGAATATCCAACACATTGAGGTTGTACGTCGTCTGCGTCGCCGCGGCCACCGTCGCCAGCTCCAGCCCCAGCAGCAGATACCCGGACTGGCGGTGGTACTTGTACAGGGTCTTGCCGCGGTCGACACTGCCCAGCACCTGGCGGGGCAGGAAGTACTGCACCACGCCGCCGGCGGCCTGCAGGATGATCACGATGTAGGTGACCAACCCCAGCACGCCGTGCGGGGAGGTGAAGCGGGCGTGGTCGCCCTTGTTGATCTCGATGATGAGGAACGCGGCCAGGAAGCCCAGCACGCTCAGGGCTTGGACGGTGTAGTGGATGACGGTGCCGCGGCGTTTCTGGACGGCAGTGGCGGTGGGTTGGAGGATGAGGGCGGCTTGGACTTGGAGGAGGAGGGCGGCGGAGTTGAGGAGCTGAACGAACACGGTGGGGGGTTAGATGGATGGATTTAGATGAAAATAGGAGGGGAGACTGACTGGGTGCGGGGAGAAGAAGATGAGAGGATGCGAGAGGATGCCGGTCCAGACGAGGATGGTGATCTGATTCAAGGCGTTTGGTTAGGATCTTGGATCGCTCGATGGATGCCATCAGTGGGTGGATGTGGAGGGTCTTACCAGCCAAATGCCTACTTGGGCGGCGAGGGCAGTACCTGGAAATTCAAATGAGGGTTAATTCAGTGGTTGTTCGTGATTTATCTTGATGGCTGGAATACGCACCTCGGAAGAGGTTGGGATACAGAGAAGCATTGTCGTCGTCGGACTGAGGCCCATTGCCGGGAGTAGACAACAGCGGAGAGTCCTCGCGGGAATCGATGCTGTCCGGATGCAGCTGGGGGATGCCTGTGGCGGAGGCCATGAGGGCGTTGGAGTTGTTACAGTATGGCTCAAAGAACGGAACTCAGCAGTATACTAGGTAGTTTATCGATTCAGTAATCGCGGTGGTGTTGGAAGTGGCCAATGGGCAGGGGGTTATATGTCAGAGAGTCCGAAGCGAGCATGACGAATGTGGGGAGGAAAATGATGAATCGCTGCGGGGAAGATTGGAGTTAAGTTATACTCAGTACGTACTAAGCTACGTACTCTCATAGATAGACTGTAAAGTTAATACAAGTTCTACTGTACATAACCCCGAAATTTCCAATATCTCCGAAAGACTCCGATCCAGTCAAAGGCTCCGATTTGCTCAGCATCGGTCTATAACTGATCAGGATGCCCTCCTCACCTGCTCTCGTATTATTCTGGCATGTGTTCGACAGGAAAAAGCAAGAAAAGAAATCGATTCAATGAGATCCCAATCCAAGAAAACAACTGTGTAAATAAATAATTTCCAGCTAAGTCAGAAAAAGCACACAAGCAGATTCCGACTCCGGAAATTGCTTTGTCTGATTGAGAGATCTTGTGGAAGCTATTGAGATAAGAGAAGGACAAATCCTTATCTTACCGTACTGTACCTTACCTGAACAGTAATACAGTGTGAACATCATCACCACCACCACCACCATCTACTCCCCGTTGATCCTCAACCGGAGACACCCACCATTACTCGTCCGAGTCCCCTCCGGCATTTTCGGGCGCGGTGAAGTAGTCCGATGCTAGTCCAGAGCCCCGGGAGCACGTGCCCTCGCTACGTGCTGCGCAGACAGCACGGGGGGCCTCGAGAGCCGCTCCGTCAGCCTGAACCGCATAGTCTCCATAGTGATAACCACCAGGTTGGTGAGCAGAGGACAGGCAGCGAACAAGGCTTTTGGGTCGGACTCGAGGGGCCCGCGGCGTCTCGGCGTGTTTGGCAAAGTGCTCCGCCCAGGTGGCCTCCAGCGGCACGGTTTGAACGGGAGTCGCTTCATCATCGGTGGCTGTTGCAGCAGGATCAGGATTGGGATTCTGCGCCTCTTCGCCACCAGTAGTGACAGAGACAACCGCTTTCTTCGACGCGGTTTTATTCGCAGGTGCAAGACGAGCTGCGGGGTGTGGGGTGGATGGACGAGTTGGCAGAGCGTGAGGGTGTGGCGCGTGGGGTTGCTGGCCCTTTCTCTCTGCCTCCCACTGAATGTGAGCTTGTTCTTCGGACATTGTCGGTTTGGGTAAAACTTATCTGAAAGGATCTGCGCCTAGACAGGACGGTCAGTGACAATGTATGGCGATGAGGAATGAATGGCATTCGATCTCAGGGTGGGATTGGTGTCTTTATATAGCTGCGAGTCTATCGGGAAAGAGCAACATTCATCATCGGGTTCATAGTATCGTCTGACAACTACATCAAAGAGTATTCTCGAGTCTTTATTGTGATAGCATTCATGGCATTCAACCAAGCGAAATGCTCCACCATCAGTCCTGCCTAATTCCAACACAAAGGATTCCGAAGCTATTATCTGTTCTTCACAACATACCAGTGCCAGTTCCTCCTATCACCGCCATGGCAACTTGATCACCGAACTCTCCATCCCTGATCCAGGCTTGCCAAACACAACCTCCGCCCCCAGATTGCCTTCCTCCAACCGCATCACGATGTTGAACAACGTCGCCGTCCGGACAATCTTTGGTTGTGCTGGATCCTCCTGCCAGCAGATCGACTGCGGGCCGTCGCAGGTATCAGAGAAGATCTGACCGCGAAGCACCGTACCCGCAAACTCAGCACCATCTCCCTCCAGGACCTGGCTGTCGACAATCTCTCTCGCCAGCTCACGCACCCGGGCCAACCGGACCGGCGACCCGGACAGCCACGGCGGCTCGATTACCCGCCGGTTGAGCAGGAAATGGTTCGTGTGGGTGACCATGCCGTACTCGTCCTCAGGGAGATGATCATCCCCAAGAGGGGAGAGCTCCAGCCCGAGGGCGACAGTCGGGTCCGCGATGAGAATGTGCTGGCTGGAGGCGACGCCGCCCAGAGAGGACAGTTTCTGAACAGCCGTATCGACGGAGTTGCTCTCCAGACACAGGCGCAGGGCGATATGGATCGGCAGTTTGGAGCTGAGACAGGGGTGGGCGCGGATGGCGTTGAGGCAGACGCCCACGCCGGCGCTGTTGAAGCCGATCTTGCCGACGATGCCGGCCTGCTCATTGTCAGCATCTCATGACCAGCAGAGGAGAGAAGACCCAAAGGGACTCACTTCCGTAACCATGTAAATGACTGGTTTGTCCGGTTGGATGATCTCGACCAGTGCGAGGTTGCCCTGTACTCGCGTGGTGAAATCCCAATTCTGGGCGAGGATGCGGCCCCGGTCCCGTCGGTGCAGCGCGAGACTCGTGCAGCCATCTGCAAACTTGCCGAAGGAGATCTCGCTGCGACAGTTCAGGGCGACGATCTCCTGAAGTTTAAGGCCCGCCCCGTCGGCGATGCCTTGCATCTCGGCCAGGAGGTCGGGGGTGGACCGCGCGATGGTGGCGCGGAATTCCTCGGCCAGGACGAGCACGTCATCCCACGACATCTTCGAGGTATGTTGGAACATGGCCTCGTAGACGGCGAGCTGATTCCTGATCTGGGAATAGAGTTGCTTGCCATGTTGCAGGCCGATCTGCGACGTCAGATGGAACGATTGATACCAAGGTACTGCATTAGCGACTTACTTCTCGCGGCGTGCCACTGAGCACTATCTTGGGAGGTTCTTCTATCTCCACATGCATAGTGAGATTGTCGCGTCAAGCAGACTGATACAAAGGAGCAAAGAAGCAAAGAAGGCGAAGAGGGAGAAAGACGGTGCGACCTGCGCGGGGGGAGTTCTTATCAATCACTTGCTCCCGCATGGCCAAATGCGGGGAAAGCAAATCACGATAACCACTTTGAGCCAATGTTTACATGCCTGCATACAACCTAACTCATGATGAGTTCTTCATGAATTCACTTTCCCAACACCTCGCTTAAGGGTAGCCCATCCCCACAAACAGGATGACGATAATTCCAAAGCAGTATCAAATCGAGAACAGGCGAACAGCTTATCCTACTCTCTCTTAGTTCATCTCCAACACTCACACCAGGCACCCATCCATACTGAGATCCACTCTACTGTTCTTTTCAGCCATCTCTCACTGTTCTCTCTATCTAAAGATACTTTCTCTTCATCGAGATACACACTCTCTATCGAGACACACACTCTCCATCAAAACGCACATTCTTTATCAAAACCCACACACTCTCTATCAAAACACACACTCTCTCCATCAAATTCATCCTTTCTCTCTTTTCCTTCCATCCAGAGACCTTACCAACATCACCAACCTCACCTACCTCACCAACCTCACCAACCTCACCAACCTCACCAACCTCACCAACCTCACCAACCATCCCATCTCCAACCCCCCAAGCCAGAATGACCAAACCCCACCCAACCCTCACCGAACAGCTCCAAACCACCTACGACGCCCTCCTCCGGATCCTCTACACCCACACCGACGCGCAGGGCATCTCGCACCGTCCCTACGGCCTCGATTGGATCTACTTCGAGCGCCTGATGTACCGACTGCTGCTCCTGCAGGGGGTGGCGCGGCCCGGCGACCGCATCGCCCACGACCCGTGGGTGCTGTTCCTGGACCGGTATGCGCCGCGCTCGGTGCGCCGCTCCCCGAGCGAGGCCGGCCGCGTGGAGGTGGCGTTCTTCCCCAGCTCGATTCTGCAGTCGCCTTCCTCCGGCTCTTCTCCCCGCTTGGTTTCTGGGGGTGTTGAGCAGGGTCGTCGCGGCGTCAATGGCTACGCCAACGGCAACGACTATACCGGCAGTAACGGCTACGCTAGCAGCAACGGCAATGCCCCCATCTACGGTGACAGCGCTGGACCTCGTCCTCGGGTGGACTCCAACGGCCACGTGCACTTCGATCATACGGCTGTGCAGCGGGACCCGAGTCAGAGACGGTCGCCTTCGATCCCTAGGTACTTTCAATGACTTTGCTTTTGGGGGGTGGGGTAAGTTTGATACCTTTCAGGCATAACAATGAGAGTGTTGATGAGTGTGCAGATATCGATCAAACGGAATTAAACATCACGCGCACTTTACCCTGTCAATATCTGTGTGTTCGTGACTGATGAAGCCATCGTCTTTCGTTTCTTCTGGAAGAGAAAGAATGATATGCATGATGCATCTGGTGCTAGATTATGTGGAGGTGTTCTCTGGAGTTGGAGTTCGGGTTGACTTTTATTCTGGCTATGTGTACAGAGTATTCTTTGATTTGTTGGGGATTCTTTATGCTGATGCTGCGGTGATGATGTTTGTGTTTGTTGCAGTGTACAGCGTGTGTCTTCTTTCTGGTATTTGCTTGAGATTGTTCTGAGCGACGATGATGATCATGAAATGTCCATGGGCTGGATGGGTGCGATGGAAGGGCGTCTAGGCTTTTGGTCCGGCGTTGGCCAAACTACTTACACCTTGATGGAGTTTGAGTTGAGTTTGGTGTTTTCTCGGGTGTTGTGTTGTGTATGGAAGAGCGTGGACTGTCAAATCTGGGAGCAAGATCTTTCCTGTGTTCCTGCTATCGATGTACAGTACCGAGTCTGTATCTCCCTTGAATTACTTGTGTCGCATTGCAGTTACTGCCTTATGTGAGCACCCATCGAGAGTGTAGAGCGCAATCAGACCGGAGACCACCACCTCCCTCGTCCTCTCCACCCCACCGACCCCATACATTACCATCGCCTTACACAGCACAGCACACCCTAACCATACCCATCAAGCATATAGACCCAGACCCCTTATCTCCGACCCTCCTTGCCCCCACGTCCAAAGCCGCCTATCCCCGAACTCAAGCAAAACCCGTCAGCAAATCCCGGGAACCAGGTCGCACAAATCAGCCAGCCCCCCGAGACGAGGGAGGGGCAGGTGTCACGCCCATGTAGAAGGTGAGGTAGAGGAGTCTCCTTTTCTCTTCTCATCCTTATCTTCTCAAGGTAAGCAGTTGACGAGGGCTGAGGAAAGAGGCGAAACATTTTCATTCCAATGAGATCGGGTTCCAACCCCGGAACTGCCTAGCCATACCAGAACCTGGAAGATGGGATAGATGGAATGGGATGGGATGGTGGTTTTGTGTACCTAAACATCTCTAACGGTTTTCTTTCTCTTTCGCGGAATAGAACTCGACAGATTGGAACTAGAAATCTGCTTGGGAAGAGAGATATTGTGAGGATCGGAGCGTGGGAGAAACACGCCACTAATGTAGTCTATACAAAAAGAAGATTCTCCCATGGATGGTATGTGTAGTCCATATTCATATCGTGACCTAGGATAAGGCAGCGGTATGTCTATGTATAGTACAGTCCCTAATGGTGCAGTACCAACCAGTAACCTTCGTGAACGCGTTATACTCCTCCTGACGAGGCGAGGACGGACCACCGCTTCCTTCTCTCAAAACACTACACCACGAGATCCCAAGAACAAATAATCTCCTACTCCAACTCAACCACCCAACATGCAGAGCGCTCACTTCGCAACAAGCGCAGACAGCCTGTTCCGTTCCAACCAGAACAAAAACCCATTGCCATTGTCCCAGGAGAACAAGAGAACAAGAGACCCAAACCCCGAGCCAATCCCATTGGAACGAAACCTGCCCCAACAAGTCGAGCATCACTTCCACCACCGTGACTAGCCCAACGCTCACAGCATTCCAGCCCAGTAACACGGCAGTCACGATCTCACCCGGTCTGTGCCTATGTACTGTCCCTAGTAAATAAGTAAGTCAGTGTGTATGTATCTACGCAGTACGCAGTAGCAAGAGAAAGTGAACACTCGAGTGGGATCTCGACAAGGCGACGTCAACGGCAACATCGACATCACCAGATCAGATCAGATCAGGTCGCCTCCCCTAAGCCCTAGCCTCATGATCTACACCCACCCCCGAAAAGGACTGGGGGGTGGGGGGTTCCGCAATCAGGGATCTATGTCTCTCGCCTCGACCGTTGGGAAGTCTTGTCTCGGACTGATTCCAACCGTTGCGCGCCGCCACCCTTACCTAAATGAAGGATAGACACTTCCCTCCAACGGGAGCAGATCGCATCACTACAGATCTGCAAGGAGCCCGTTGACGTTGACCGGTTGACCGGTTGAGGACCGCATGATCAAACCATACACACACACACACACACACACACACACACACACACACACACACACACAACACACAACACACAACAGATATACCGTATCCACGGATGGGGACATGAACGCATGCATTGCCTGGAAAGGGAATTGAACCAGAGAAAAAGAAGATGCAACAGGAGAAAAGGTCCAGTAACCCTTTCAGGTCCCAAATCAGTTAGTATGACAGCTGCGTTGCTCCAAGGCCACTCGAGCAGAGCAGCTTTGTAACAAGAGGATCCAAAGTCCTGTCTGCCATCGGAGATCCCCCTTTAGAACAGATTGATAGAAACGATCATAGAACCAACCCCCCTCCCAGCCTTCGCTCTTGCCCACTCTGCCCGTCATTCTTGTCTGATTCTCTTCGAGTCTTCTCCTTACCCCCCTAAAGGTTGCACAACAACGCATCCAGCGGCTACATGCAGATCACTTCGGAAAGAGCCACGAATCGGGGATTATAAGGCCAAAATGCCATCGACGGCGGCAGCAGCAGCAGCAGCAGCAGCAAGAAGCTCTCGCCCCCCTATACCAGCGAAAGAAGGAGGCTGCTGGTGCTGCTGCTGTGGTGGTGGTGCTCGTCCATGACCTAAAGAAAGTAAACCAGGGTTTCTCCCTGCTTTTCGTCCATTGGGAGTAGCCGTGAAGCTACACACCACACACACATCCATATACACACTTGTTTCTGTGACCTTGAAAGACCCCCGCTCCCCCATTTTACCCCGGAAAATACCCAACGTCCCGACAAGGTCAACCGAAATCGCCTCCTGCCACTCGCTGGGACACCTAGCCCAAAAATGAACGACATTCCTCTCAGGGACAGGACATGCAACATCATTCTCTCTGGCAGAACGCCCTATTTCTTTTTTGGCGGGTAAACTGGGATCAATCGGTGTAACAAACAGGTCGCATGGCCTTTTTTTTTTTCCTTTCCTCGGGGGTATGATGCTCGTGTTGGAAAAAGACGGGGTCAAACTTCGGTGAGCGTTCGTTATATGATGGAATGAAGAGGCGAAATTTCCGGCGGCCCACTACATATGCAAGAACCGCATCAGCCAACAGGGACAATGACAGAGTAAAAAAGAAGGGCCTGAGCACCTCCCCTCCCCGTCGCTGCCATCGATCCGGACCAAGGTTGTGAAGGTAGCTATCTTCAAAAGAGAGGGAAGGATAGGCTGCGCTTTCAGGCACAATCATGGAAAAGCCCAAGGCACTTTGCAGCAGGTTAATTGAAACCCACGCCTCCCGCTCGCCCTTCTCTTCCTCCTCCTCCTTCTGCCCCAATCTCTTCTCCCCTAGACCGGCCGACGATAGGCTGCGCCGGTGTCATCTTGACGGTTTCACAACTCCACCCCAAACAGGAAACGAACGATACCATCATCCGTTTCGGGGATTGGCCCCCTCGGGCAACAATCACGAGATAAGGACACAATTGGGACTGGGCACAAGTGAATCTCGAACACCTCATCCGACTCATCCCAGAGGCGAGGAATTTATAGAAACAAAATAATCAAAAAGGAAAGTGGTGCTGGCTTGTCCGTGTCGGTTTTGGGCCCTTTTTTTTTTCTTTCTTTCCTCGTCCTTGTTGGCAGCAGGTGCATCTGATGGTCCTCGTCTGGTATCACTGTGGTCCCTGTCACAGGAGAAACAGACAACTGAGGAATATTAGGGTCTGGGAGGCAACAGATTAAGATAAAGACCAAGGAGAGTCCTTGACCTCCATTGAAGAACCGCTCTCGAGCCCCCAATTCCAGCCGTTCCTCTTTCTGCCATCCCTTCTGTAAACCCATCAGAAACAAAAGCTTTCTCTCTCACACAAACCCTTTGGGCCGGCGTCGTCTCCCTCTCTTCTTCATATACCTGGAAAACATCAGAAGTGACTTCCACTACTTGACACAACGAAAACCCCTCATCTGACAAAGCTCGATTGAACTTCATTGGCTTCTTGCTGCCCTTGAGCCTCCTTTCACCACTTGATCCTCTGTGATACTCTTCTCCTCTCACTGTCTTTCTCTGCCGCTTCTCCACCTCTGTCTCTGGATAGCAAGCCGGCCTGCCATGCCACCCAAGGGCCTTTACCACCAAGCTGCTCTCCCCGAAGCACGCGGGCTGAAGTATGACGAATCCGACATGGCTCTCTTCCACGCCAAGCTCTCCTATCACTCCACTATCGAAGCCCGCATGGCATCCAAGGACTCCAATCTAGCATCAATCTCGGATGCCCAAGCGCGGATCCTCAAGCGCTGGGAGATGCTGAAGCAGGTGGAGAAGGAGATGGCAGACAAGGGCAAGTCTCTGTCTCCCGCGGAAAGAAAGCAGCTCGCACAATACGAGTGGCGGTATAAACGACTGGAGGAGGTGGCGACCCAGAGCACTAGCTGAATGGGAAAAACAAAGGGAAAAAACGATAAGAGAAAAACAAACACCCACGGCATAAGGTTGCAGCGCCGACCGTGGGGAGAGATAGCATCGCTGGCGTTGGTTTAGATGTGGATTCGAACAACGCACTGGTGTCAAGATCAATTGCAAGTGAAGAGTGTGCGCGTTGCGATTTAAAAGTAAATCCGGGAGTGGTTTCGGTCTCCTTGGTTTTGGTTTCGATTCTGTTGTTTCCTTTCTTTTGGGAACTCTCCCCTCTCATTCTGCTTGTATGAGTTGAATGAATGTTTCATCATCGGTCCCACCTCTGCTTCATATGTGATGGAAGCTGCTCATGCTTCCTGAGTGACTGCAATGGCCTCACCTTCCATAGTGAGTACACTCGTGACCAGCTCACGGCTCAGGGAAGGTAGGGTGTCCCTCCTCCCTCGAGAAGCTCCCACATAGTTCATGGGGCGACAAAAAAGAAAAGAAAAAAAAAAGAAAAAAAAAATACCCGCGACGTAACGAATGTAACATAGCCTCTCCGAGACGAACACAGCATCTTGCACTTCGAGATCAGATCAAGTATATGTCTCAGAAAAGCCCCCCCAGAAAAAGAACAATAAACAATGAGGAGCATCCAGAAGTGGGGTCCGAGTGGCGTTCACGGCATCTTTCCTTTTTTTTTTACCCTCCCATTTTCTTTTTCGTCTGTAGATAGATATAGTGCTTCAGCCGAGGGTCGAGTCACGTCACGCAAAAGCAATCGTGAACGGCTCGTCCTCCCTCCTCTCTGATGTCCTACATTGGGCACGCGACATGCCCTCTTCGGCCTAGCAAGTCCTGCCACAATCCAGAACCCAGGGAAGCGAAGGTCGTGTAAAGTCGCGGCGTGTGGTGTTGACACACACGCGCGCGCACTCCCTGTCTTGGGAGGTTCAATTGCCACATGCAGCGCATCTTCCACCTCGGCCAGCAGAGGGGTTTATCCGAGGGAAACGACATGGACAAGAGGGGTTTGGTATTAAGAGCAGGAGCGGTGCGGCGAGGCGTAATAGGGGAGTGAGGGGGAACAGTCACGGCACGGCAAGTTCCAGCACCGCATACATTGCCTGACAGGATTTGATTTCTCCCCGAGGCATAGTAGTAGCTGTGGAATGTGTTTCCTGTGAATGTTGAATTTTCCCCCTCATCATGAAAATAGAGTTGCAATTGAGAGGGTGTGTTCCCCTCGGAAAGATGCGAGCGTCGGAGACCTCCGAACGGGATCCCAAGGGGCAGAAGAGGTGGGTGGGCCCGGGTGTGGGTGGGTGTCAGTCACTTGTTGACAGCCTCTGTGTGAGGTGTCGGTTGAGGTCGGTTGAGGTCGGATCCTATAGCTACCTCTGTTAGCAATTGAGCAGGGAAGATGAGCGAAGGCTCAAACAAACACACCTGTTATCATCCCGCAAGATCACGCAGTTGAATGTCGAAGATGAAGGTGTGGAAACAACAACAAGTGTCGGAGTTGGAGAAGATCAAAGTGGGGAAAGGAAAGGCCTGCGATGAAGCGATAAGATCGAGTAATGCGGGAAAATCGGCGGGGGAATTTCTTATCGCTGGCGCGCTGTATCGGGAATCGGCTGTTGCTGCACTAGTGAGGTGCCCCTCCTGACGTCGTCTATATAAAATGCCCTGCAATTCCTTCACTTCAACAATTCCTCTTCCTCCTCCTCCACACCAATTCCTCTCCATTGTTTCCAATCTCTCCACTCTACCTATTCCCAGTCACAAACCCACCACCATGGCCACCACCGAATCCCCCTACATCCCCGGCCCCGAAATCGACAGCACCTTCGCACACACGACCAACCTCGCTTCCTCGGCCTTGAACACGCGCGTCCTCGCCTGCAGCAACGAATACTTCGCCGCGGCCTCGAACCTCCTCACGCCGACGGCGCCGATCAACCGGCCGGGGGTCTTCATCCACACGGGCGCCTGGTACGACGGGTGGGAGACGCGGCGCCACAACCCGGACGCCTACGACTGGGTGGTGATCAAGCTGGGGACGGCGCGGGCCGCCATCCAGGGCATCGAGGTCGACACGGGCTTCTTCGTCGGCAACTACGGCGAGAAGGCCGAGGTGCAGGCGACGTGCTCCGACGCCGACGACGCCGTGCTCGCCGACCCCAGCTACGCCGGCTGGACCACCATCCTTCCGCCCCAGCCCTGTGGGCCCTCGCAGCGCCGCGCCTGGAGGGTTCCCGGATTTGACCCAAAGAACCCCACGCCCTACACCCATGTGCGTCTGCTCATGTACCCCGATGGGGGCTTTGGGCGGTTGAGGCTGTATGGTCATGCGATTCCGGCGGCGCGCGGGGAGAGGGTGGCTGTCGCTGGTGCACAAGATGAGGAAGAGGAGGAGGAGGAGCTGTCGTCGGCGTTGTGCGGGGGTCTGGCGCTGGCGGCCTCGGATCAGCATTATACCCCGTGCTCGAATCTGCTGCTGCCCGGCCGCGGGAAGGATATGGGTGATGGGTGGGAAACGGCGCGGTCGCGCGCCCCGGGCCATGTCGACTGGGCCATTGTGCAGCTGGGGCTGCCGGGCGCCGTGTCCAGGGTCGTCGTCGATACCAAGGACTTCCGGGGCAATTTCCCCCGCGCGGTCCGCGTGCACGGCTTGGTGAAGGGGGAGGGTGGCGAGGGCGGCCCCGTCGCCGTGCCCGCCCATGATCATCCCGGCTGGGTGGAGATCGTCAAGGGCGACCAGCGCTGTCAGGCCGATACCGAGCATGTCTTCCAGGGTGCGGATCTGGCCGCAGGTGTCGATACCCAGGCGTTCACCCATGTGAAGTTGACCCTCGTGCCGGACGGTGGCGTGAAGCGCTTCCGGGTCTTTGGCAGACGGGCCTAGGTCGAGGCTTGTGATGAGCGGTGCCTTCTGTTTAGTATGTAATCTTCAGCGTGGTAAATTGCAAATAATGAGAGATACGATCCTACATAAATTCATTATTCAGAAGATCATGTACCGGAAAGGGGAGGTTTCCAGTACAGTAATGTGTTTTCGACATTCGCCTAAGGATAAATTATACTGGGGAAAAAAAAACAACAACGCAGGAACAACGTTAAGCTCCGTATAATTCATCGTTATAGCTTGCTAGCAGCCAGACTAGGTAGGGTATATCACTATAAAAATTCAATAATCTACTTCATCGTGAGGGATCACAATCAATCGATCGACAACAGTGGAAACGCCGCGGCGAAAATAACACATGCTCTGTTGGGTGTTGCAAATACAATTCCAGAATGGTAGAAAGGTCATGCTCGTGAAAATCTGGTATCGGTATCGGTATCGGTGTCGGTGTCGGTATTGGGAAAAGGCAGAAGAAGAAAGATGGAGGGATTTTCTCAACACAAATTCCCTGAGAGAACAAACTGACGCCATGAACTAAAGTCCGCTGGTCCAAAGAACAACACAACAAGCATGAAAACCCCCGCCCCGTGTGAATGCTGAAAGGTATCAATTCGAACTGGCATGCCGAATGCAAACAAATGCCATGGAGGAACGTGGTCACAACCGTGATAAGTGTGGCGTAGAAAGCAATATTAATCAAGACTCGAAATATCATCCGGGGCGCCGTTCCGTCCGATACTTCGTTCCCGGTCCCAAACAAAAAGAGAAAAAGAGACGAAAGATATTATAGACCCCCTTGGCACAAAGCGAATAAATCAGGTTTGAATACGTAGCAGTACATTGTGGCACTTTCTGACTGCCGCTGCCGGAGGTTGGAGACGCGCAGAAAGTTGAGAGGAGACAAAAGAGGAATTGCCGACGTGCGATCAAGGACGGTTCACGCTGGCGGAAGCATCTACTCGGAGCGGAACTTCTCCGCATTCTCGGCCTTGAGGCGGTCCCGTAGAAGAAGTAATGGCCGATTGGGGTCTAGGAGCCCCATCATCATCTTGCCCAGTTCATTGTGTTTGATGGGTTTGGTGACATAGTCGTTGAAGCCAGCACGTGCGGCATCCTCGATCTGATCGGTCATCGCGTTGGCCGAAAGGGCCATGATCGGGATTTGTGGGTAGTGGTTCTTTGACTCCCAAGCACGAATGTCACGGCACGTCTCGTAGCCGTTCTTGATGGGCATTTGGATGTCGCACTGCAGGTCGTGTCAGCGAACTTGGGATCATTGAGTCCGCTTGCTGCGATATCTTTCACTTACAATAATGAGAGAGTAGTATCCTGGTTCCTTGGAAAACACCATTTCTGTACACTCTTGTCCATTTGTGGCTGTCTCCGCCATGACCTTGATCTTGTCGAGGTATTTCATCATCACCTGAAACACGTTAGCATACAGGGTAACACACAGCGAATTCCACATGTGTTCACACTTACCATACGGTTCGTATCATCATCCTCAACAAGTAGCACTCGGTAACCCTTGTTGCCGATGACCTCTTTCACCATCTTCGACATGGTCTTGAAATTGTTGTTGATTTCCCGGGCCATATCCTGGTTCCTGTCCTTGCTCAAATCGCGTCGATTGTCGGGATCAAATATAGAGGAAAAGGCGGACGGCTTCACCGGTTTCGGAACAGTGTATATACGTCTCCCGCTAGAGGCCAACTCCTTTATTCTAGCATTGATTTGTCGCTTCTGATACAGGTCGGAGATGATGACCAGACTTGGTGCGGTCTCCAACTCGCACTCGGAGACATAATGCATCATATCCAGGACGTCATCCACGTTGGGCAGGTTGAGGACCAAATGAGTAAGCTTCGTGACATCGCTGACCGAATCCCTCCAATCTTCCACATCAGGGGTGGAAGTGATAGAGAAGGGGACTTCCAGAGGGACCACCTGCTCGATGTGTTGCTTAATAGCTTGGCGGGTATTGTCCAGAGGACAAAGAATAAGGATCGAGTAAGAGCTGGGTAAAGGCTGCGCGTCCGACCCGGTGTACTCCGTAGGCTTGGTCGAGGCAAATGATTCTTGCGAGGGTGAGGAGGAAGATTGCGCCGTTGGCTGCGAGATATCGCCGCTTGAGAGGGCCGACTTGGAGTTGTCAAGCCTTGCCAACGGATCCAGCGTGTAGGGGTCGGGGGTAGGAAGGGCCGAGGAGATCGAAGACCTCTCGGAGAAGTTGACCGAAGGAAAGCGTATAGGGGTCTCGTAGCTCGTTTGTGATTGGTTTAAAGAGGTCTCAAGAGTAGAGGAGAAATCGGCTGCGTCGGGTCCTCTGCTATCCATAGAGTCCTTCCTGAACAGCATCTTCTGCAGCGGATTCGGCTTGAGGTGCTCGAGGAAGACGTCAGAAGTGCTGGACGATTGACGGACAAGCCGCGGCTCGTCGGGAGTTGGCGGTGGAGGAGCGTCGACTTTAACATAGAACGAAAATTTGGCACCTTGCCCTTCCTTACTGGTGGGCGTCAACTTGCCGCCATGCATTTCGACAAGCTGTTTCGACAAAAATAGCCCGAGACCGCTACCCGCATGCTGCTGAGAGCCGTTCTGTCCCAGCTGACTGAATCTCTGCATCAATCGCTCTGCATCCCTGACGCTGAAACCTTTACCGGTATCCACAACGTCGAAATTCAACAACAACTCCGTGGATTTGGGAGTAGTCGGGGCACCATCATAGATGGAGCAGCATATATGGATCTCACCCTGAGCAGTAAACTTGACTGCGTTGCCGACAAGGTTGATGAGGACCTGTCGTATACGGAACCTGTCTCCGATAACCATGGGTGGCACATTTGCGTCCATCAAATAGTTGATTTCAAGGCCCTTGTCGATCGCCCTAGACGAGACGGTGTCGATGACATCCTCAATCACAGACCGTACATGGAACCATGAGTTGACCATTGTCATTTTGCCGGCTTCCACTCTAGAAACGTCCAGAATGTTATCAACCAGCTCTCGAAGGTTGGTTGAGCTATTCTGGATAGTGTCGAGCATACGTCTCTGATCAGTGTCGAGCTGGGTGTCGAGAATGAAAGGGATGGTGCCAAGGATACCATTCAGCGGAGTGCGAATCTCGTGAGACATGTTGCTGAAAAACTTCGTCTTCGATTCCATCTGGTTATTGAGTTGCTGCATGGCTTTATTGAGTTCGCGTTCGAGATTCTTGCGGTCATTGATGTCCGTGCATGTACCGTACCATGAAGCTTCTCCTTCTCCGCTTCCAAAACTGCTAGTCTCGACACAAACCAGACGAACAAGATGCCATCTGAAATCCCCGCCCCTGGAGCGAAGCCTTATTTCGGTAGAGTAAAAGACACGTCCATTTTCGTCCCTCTGTACCGAGGCGACTCCACGCCTCACAAGTTCTTCCAATGCAGGTGTAACGCCCTGGCCAAATTGACTGTCTTGTGAGACAGCCTGACGTATGGCTTCCGCTGCACTTTCGCCGGGTTCGGCTGTGCACTCGATTTTCTGCGGCTCAGAAAGGTAAAGGGAAAGAAGGCCACATTTCTCCAGATCATCGGTGTGGACGTGCTTGGCAAAGCCGAAGTTCAGCGCTTCCTCCAGCTTTTGACCGGTGTAGAGGTGCCATTGCTCATTGACGAAAATGAGGCCCCTATATTCTGTAGCCTCGAAGACAATCTGGGGGATGGAGTTGGAGAAGGCTCGATATTTGGCATCGGTCGCGAATTTCTCTCTCTCTTGCGCAGCTTTCAATTCGGCAATATGTTGCTCGTGTATGTCGAGAAACGATCCGATCCAGTAAAGCACCTCCCCGGTGGAAGATAGCAAAGGGTTTGCCCGGAAAATAAACCATCGATATGCCGACTCGTCATTAAAGCGTCTGACCCGGACCCGTTCCGTAAATTGTGACCCTGTACGTAATGCGTTTGCCCATTCCTGAGACATGTGCTCTCTTTCGCTGCTGTGAATATTCTGCCAAACGTCTCGCAATCTCTGTTCTTGAGGCTGACTCCTTCGGTAAGCATCGAATTTCGAGTTGGTCCATATTACTTCTCCGCTCTGGGGTTTCGCAAGGAAAAGATGTAATGGTACCGAGTTCAGCATGAGTTGCGCCACTGTATCAGAGAATGGACGGGGTAGTTCGCGTTGCAGCTGGGCGTAGAAGGAATTCGTTGAGGGATGGCGGGAGGCAGTCTGCGTTGGTGATATAACCTGGGATCCCTTCACATCCTGCAGAGGAGATACAACGCCTGGACTCTGGTCTTGCGGTGTGGCGTCTTCCTCGGCAGACTTGCTTACAAGTCTCCCGGGTGACGTGGGGTCTGATGATGCCATGTTCTGTCTCATCTTAGTCAATCTGTTCCGATGCTGAGTGATGGCGTCCCGAAAACTTTTCGACTGGTGCACGTTGAAGTAGCCATCGGGATTATCGGTCCCTGTCTTAGGTACCACCCCAGGTGATTCGCAGAAATTGCTGCCTCCTGACGCAACAAGACCGAGATCGACCCCAGGTGTTCCAAGATTAGATAGCGATGGGCTGAGCTTGGTAGAACTTGACCTTTCTTCTGGACTTGAGATACTAGCTCGAGCTGACAAAGAGCCATCGTCCGCTATCGTATAGCTCACATGGCCACTGAGACCTGCGACCAGTTCCAGCTCGCTGCTTTCATCAGAAAAGGTTCCGCCGAGTCCCAGGAGCTGGCCATAGCGAGGAGCCTCAAGCCGTGAAGTGACTTGACGCTCAAGCTGGCTGTAGTGTTGCGCGAGACAGAACGAAGTGGTGAGGTGAGGCATAAGATACGATAACGATCTTCTCAGATTCGTGGGGTAAGGGATAATAGGAGACAATATGGAGATCACGGCGACCGGGAATCGTAAGGTTGATGGCGAAGGATCCTTGGCGTGGCCGACATGCAAAAGAGGAATGTGAACCACCGACTTGGCCAGGTCAACGCCAATGGCTTCCAGTGGCCCCAAATTCGAATAATCGTGAGGGGGAGGATTCTTTGCGAATGCGCTTTCATCAACAGCGTGACTGACAAAGAATGGATTCTGCTCCGCATGAGAGCGAGGTGCGGGCGATGGAGCCGGGGACTGAGACCAAGGAGACGGTGGCACCTGTTCATACTCATCAAACAATTCCATAGACGGGGTCACCCTAGTCTTGAACAGACCAGGATTGGATACCGTTCGCGTTCGAGCTGTAGATGGTTTATTGGAGGAATTTGGTTCAACAGTAGGGGTAGCCTGAGGTTTGTCTTCTGGGGTTTCGAGAGGATCTCCTTGACCTGGTCGATCAGCCGGCCCCTCTGAATATTCTCTTGTCAAAACAACAGGATCGGTGCGCCCGAAGAGCTTCACCACCCCAGTTCTCTTGATTAGCGGATCGGATTCGACTTCCAGCGGTCGGGGCACGGGAAAAACTGCTTGGCGATAGTTTTGCAGTCCAAACGATGACACCGGTTCGTTGGTTGGAGTTTCAATCCCAGGATCTGCTTGCTTGTTCTCTGTCTTCGGTAGACAATCGATACTTTCGTCTCGTTGAGAATCCGCATCGCGCCAGTCTGAGTGTTTCCGTTCCTTTCCAAAGCCAGCGAACGAGTGCCGTGCCAAAAGGGACGGTCGCTTCGGTGAATGAGCAGCTCTTAACCCATTCAAAAGAGCTTCTGCGACGAGCCCTTTCTTCCTCCCTGTTCCTTCGCTGCTCTCCTTTGCGGGGTTATTGCCGCTTGAAGTGACCTCACTTGGTAGTCGATCCGTTCGCACGTCTTCCGTGTCGGTAGGTACGGCGTCTGGGTCGAAGACCGCTTTCTGGCCCCA